GCTTACATCCCACTGGTTTTTTGCAATTCTGAAATCATGTCTTCAATTCCTCACATCACTGGCCTCATCGTTGCAGTCAGTGATTGCTCTTTTTTTCCCATCCTATACCATATCTGATATTCGCAATGAAGATAAGCCCCTTAATTTTAGCATCGTCAGCACGATGAGTCTGATGCGCTATGAGCATGAGCAATACAGTGAAATTTCTGTCTTTAGAAAGACGATCGAAGTTCTACCTTCGGCATTAGCGTGTGGCGCATATTCACTTTTTGGCGAAGATGAGCTTAGCTGACAATTCGACGCCTGAGGCCTGTCTAGATATCAATCTTAGTGCCATCGAGGCCGTTGCCACGTACAAACCATGTTGTGATATCCCCTTCCTCCCCCACCCCTCCCCCCCTCCCTCCCGTTTTCCAGGAGTGAAACCAGTGATGCTGAAGTCACACTGTTGGTATCAATTATCAGTGCTAATTTTTCAAGGGACAATTGTTCATTCAGATATCGGATTTTTCGTGGAATCTTAACGAGAGATGTGTTGTGTGCTCCGTAGCCGAGAATAATGTTATGCAAATTTGGCAAATGGCTGAAAATGTATTTAGCGACGAAGATTTGGATGTTCCGGCTGAACAATCGGAACGTCAAGAATAACAAATATCCGTGCATTTAACTTCCCGCCTTTGTTAATGTTTTTTTCAAAGATCTTCGAATCGTTTGAGTTTTTCTTCATCTGAATACTCACCGGTGCATTAATCAGACTTATGAGCTGGCTGTGCCTCGCTACGTTAAACCGGTCAAAAAACGTTGTTGTTTTCTGCCACTTCAGTTGTGAATCTGTGCATTTGTTCTTTTGAGTTTTTTCTTTCATTTTTGCGACTTTCCATTTTATTACTGTTTTTTTTTTTTTTTTTTACCTCAGTATGATTCTTTCCACGTTGATCTGATCACAGGATATCTCGATTGCCTCACGCTCTCACCGTCATCTTCCTTGATTGATGTTGTTTGGATTTGGATAAAGCATTGTTTTCCATAGTTACAAATTTATGAGAATGAATATGCTGGCCCATTTGCGTCCAATCTGACATTCTTATCAGTTCTTGCAAATGTTTTATTCGTTTGACCTTGTTCTGGTTCCACTGAATAACTCGTGGTGATCATATTCATGTAACAGTTTTAGCATGGAAAGAGTGACTGCTAGAATGAAACACCATGTCCTTTAAGCTTTTTCACCGAACGTAACAATCTGTTGGCCTGGTACGCGCTTGAACTTTAACAGATTCGTCGCATGCTCTTGCTTTTGTTTTACAGTGTCTGATTTTTTTTTAAAAAAAAAATGGATTCTGGAAGTCAGCTGTACAGGGTGAATATGCTAGTTTGTTCTGCTCTAAGTAACAGAAGGATATGTTAACAAGGGATGAAATAAGAGTAGTCAAAAACGAGGGTAGGAAATGAAAATTAGAAA